CCTGGCCAATACTTAAATATTTTTATATGAAAAAAAATATGTATTTTTTTTCTCAGGTACTCCCAATTTCATGAAGAGATTTTTCAGAAAAAAGAAAACCCCTAACTTAAAATCTCCAGTTATAGTGTGACACTTCCTTTTTCTTTTCTTTTCTTTTTTTTTTTTTTTTTGACACTTCCTAATTGGTAACCACGTCATGGTGATTCTTTCCCATACTTCTCCATTTCCATATTGTATACTGATGCCAAGGCTAATAAATACTGGTTTTAATTATGTCTCAGCCACAAACTATAGTAATACTTCCCCCAGTTATTTACAGCATGTAAAGCTCACTAGCCTTGCACTGAATAATCTATACTACAGCTTCAATCTATCTACTACCTTGACTCTTCCCTTTATGACAGCCCATGCTCCAAAATGGTTTGCCCCTGCCTGGTAAGCCCTTTTCTACCTTTCTTATCAAAATACTATTCATCCTTCAGGATCTGACTGGCAGCAGACTATTTTCCTAAAATACCTCCTTAGACAGATTTAGTTCTCAATTGATCTTTTATCTGAATTGTTAGTATTTTTTGTCAGCCTCATTGACTTTTGCGTGTATTGTCTTACATTTATGCTTTTTTGTATATCTTAATTTTTAAATTGGATTTAAATTGGATATGCATTTAGAGGAAAGGACATAAGAGCAGAGAGAGAGACAGAACTTGCCTTCTCTTGGCATCATCTTCAGACCTTAGATACTTTTTTAATGCTGTAAGTAATGATGGTTGTATAAGTTGTAAATTTATTCTTCAGCCTACTTTTAGGTAACACTGAAGTCTAAAGGTATAGATTTGAAACAAATGGAAAATGAGATCCTTGAACATTTTGTCTTTATTTTTATTTTTTTACTTTCACCCGTTAAATTGCTTGAATTTTTTTTTTTTTTTTTTTTTTTTTGGATATTTTTTAACTGTTAGGAAGAGTAAGGTCCAAATCAACTGAAGTACTTTTTTTAGGCTAATAAATACCTGATTACCTGCAATATGCATGTCACTTTACCACAGTACACTTAGTAGCAACACATCTTGTACTTAAAACCTGTGTTTCAGCCGGGCGCGGTGGGTCACGCTTGTAATCCCAGCACTTTGGGAGGCTGAGGCGGATGGATCACAAGGTCAGGAGTTCGAGACCAGCCTGTCCAATATGGTGAAACCCTGTTTCTATTAAAACAACAACAATAAGGCCAGGCACAGTGGATCACAAGGTCAAGAGATCGAGACCATCCTGGTCAACATGGTGAAACCCCGTCTCTACTAAAAATACAAAAAAAATTAGCTGGGCATGGTGGTGCGTGCCTGTAATCCCAGCTACTCAGGAGGCTGAGGCAGGAGAATTGCCTGAACCCAGGAGGCGGAGGTTGCGGTGAGCCGAGATCATGCCATTGCACTCCAGCCTGGGTAACAAGAGCAAAACTCCGTCTCAAAAAAAAACAAAAACAAAAAAACAACAATAAAACCTGTGTTTCTAGTTTGAAGTCCTAGAAAGTAGAGAATAAGAGTGAGGTTTTTGTGTTGGTGTTTCAGACTATAAACTTAAATGGCCTCAGAGAGTTGGTTTAGTGCTTGTTCATTACTCAGGTTCTGTGAAGACTATTTAAATAAAAATAAAGCTGTAACCTCTGTCCTACCAGATGTAGAGACAAACACCCAAGTAACAGTAGATGAATTTTGTATTGTCAAGGGGTTAAGACTGTAGATACAAGCAGTAGTTAATGGCTTTGGGAATTCTAGGAAATGGGAGACCAATGTGGGGTAGGTGACATAAGGAAGGTTTCTTTGACATCTGGGTTTTAAAATTGGGATTGAAGGTAGAGAAAAGCTCTCAGCATAGAAGTGGGAAGCTTGGAGGTGAAGGTAGAAACTAAGAATAAGTAAGATTGGTATAAGCAGAAGACCATTCCTGGTTCTGAATCTGTGATAATGTCTGAATGAGTTAGTCCAGATGGAAAAGCACAGATGGAGGGTGTGACGTGTTAGCTGTACAGAATTAAACTATATATTTTTTGAGACCAAAGGAAGTGTGAAAGATGGAAACACCTGTCTCTTAGGTTTAAGGAGTTAATAGTACCAATCCATAGGGATGAAAGTCCCAGTTATTTTAGAACTACATGGTTGCTCCACAAGGAAAAATGCCTTTAAAATGCTTTTTTTTTTTTCTTTTTGCTATTTTCAATGAAGTATTTAATCCTCCTGACTTTGAGAGTAGTGAGTATGTCTTGTGTTCATAAATTTAAGCAAGGATTAAGAATGTCCTATAATGTGTGTGGTGGTTTTTTTTTTAAAGTATGCTTTTCAATTCACTTTATTCTTTCCAGTTTCTAGTTTCTTTCTTTTCTTTTCTTTTTTTTTTTTTTTTTTTGAGACACAATCTCGCTTCATCGCCAGGTGCCAGGCTGGAGTGCAGTGGTGCAATCTCAGCTAACTGCAACCTCCCCCTCCTGGGTTCAAGCAATTCTCCTGCCTCAGCCTCCAGAGTAGCTGGGACTACAGGCACACACCACCGCACCCAGCTAATTTTTGTATTTTTGGTAGAGACAGGATTTCACCATGTTGGCCAGAATGGTCTTATCTCTTGACCTTGTGATCCTCCCGCCTCGGCCTCCAAAAGTGCTGGGATTACAGAGTGAGCCGTTGCATCTGGCCCATTCTTTACAGTTTCTAATTATTAAGGGAGTTAGAGGCTTACATACAGGTGATTTTGTTGGAGGCTTACTTTGCAGATGATTTCTTTAAAAAGTGCTTTATGAAATCATGTTAATTGCATGCAAATATAAAGTCTGAATTTGTGCCTTTTACATTACAGGTTTGTGTTTGGGCTTAGATGGATGGTTATAACATTTGCTTGTTTTTTAGTTTTATATCTGAGTCAGCAGTAGAAACCTGTCTAGAGTTGGGATGTAGTCTTTTAAATGAGTTGATTTATGCCTTCCCTTTTGCCTGTTTGAGTTTTTGTGCCTTCTTATTTCCTTAGCTCTTTCTGGATTTCGTGTTCTTGTTTCTTAAAAGCCTCGGTAAATTAGATTTATATTAAACACCTATTAGAATTCTTATTAGTGTTGAACATTTATAATGGCAGTTTTGTAACAGCTCTCTAGCCCAGATTTGCCTGTCACATACAAAGGAGGAGGAAAAAAATAACAGAAGAAAATAGAATAAGAAAAAGGGAAAGGAGAAAGTAATACTGTTATTTATGTTACCCAAAGCATCACTATGAGCTTCTTTCAAGTAAATATATCAGTGAATGTGAAAGGTCTTGAATTCCAATAGGGAAAATAAAATGTGGAAGAGGGAAAATAACAACAGCTTTGGTACGCTGTTTTAGGTTCAATACAGACAAAACAGGCTGTTTTGGCTGGGTGCCATGGCTCATGCCTGTAATCCCAGCACTTTGGGAGGCCGAGGCAGGAGGATCACCTGCAGTTGGGAGTTTGAGACCAGCCTGGCCAACATGACAAAATCCCGTCTCTACTAAAAATACAAAAATTAGCCGGGTATGGTGACAGAGGCCTATAATCCAAGCTACTTGGGAGGCTGAGGCATGAGAATTGCTTGAACCCAGGAGGCAGAGGTTGCAGTGACTGAAGATGGCATCACTGCACTCTAGCCTGGGGGACAGAGTGAGAGACTCTGTCTCAAAACAAACAAAAAAAAAAATAAAAAACTGGCTCTTCTGCTGTCATGTTGCCACGTTTGTTTTTTAGCTGGTGGGGAAGACCTCTAGAAGGTTAAGCAGACACTCTTTCCTTACTAGGTTAACATCTTTTTTTGCAAAGAGAATGTAGAAATGGATTTGATTTTGTGTGCTTCGCAGTTATCCATTTGTCAGGTTTGGGAAGTAATTCTCAAGGACAACTGAAGCAAAAGCCGTAGGAAGGAACTGAACTTTTCGAGCTTATAATCCTCTTAGGATCTGTTACTGGCAACATAAGATTCTAGGGAGGATATATTTTTTTTTTTTTTGAGACGTAGTTTCGCTCTTGTTACCCAGGCTGGAGTGCAATGGCATGATCTCGGCTCACCGCAGCCTCCGCCCCCTGGGTTCAGGCAATTCTCCTGCCTCAGCCTCCTGAGTAGCTGGGATTACAGGCACGTACCACCATGCCCAGCTAATTTTTTGTATTTTTAGTAGAGACAGGGTTTCACCATGTTGACCAGGATGGTCTCAATCTCTTGACCTTGTGATCCACCCGCCTCAGCCTCCCAAAGTGCTGGGATTACAGGCTTGAGCCACCACGCCCGGCGCTAGGGAGGATATTTATTGTACCTGACTACGAGATCTAGCTGAATAGGTCTGAAATTAAAGCAAACTGATATGAGGCTTCCCCCCACCCCCTTTCTTAGGTACTGTGCCTGTCATTTCTGCAGTTTTGGTAGATGCCATAAAGAGTTAATGGGTGCCAAGACCACTAGTTAGAATAGACTATTTTCTTAAAAAAGAGGCAGAGTGGCAGGGCGCGGTGGCTCAAGCCTGTAATCCCAGCACTTTGGGAGGCCGAGGCAGGTGGATCACGAGGTCAAGAGATCGAGACCATCCTGGTCAACATGGTGAAACCCCGTCTCTGCTAAAAATACAAAAAAATTAGCTGGGCATGGTGGCACGTGCCTGTAATCCCAGCTACTCAGGAGGCTGAGGCAGGAGAATTGCCTGAACCCAGGAGGTGGAGGTTGCGGTGAGCCGAGATCGCGCCATTGCACTCCAGCCTGGGTAACAATAGTGAAACTCCGTCTCAAAAAAAAAAAAAAAAAAAGAGGCAGAGTAGCACATCTATATAATTATCTTTGCATTTTCTAGAAGAATTCATACTTTGGTTTTAATACTGATTTAACATTTGCCTTAAGTAATATCTGGTCAGAGAAGGAAAACTATCTTATTCTTAGGGTTGATTGATGATTTTTTTGAAACTTGGTGATATTAAGTGATAGCTTTCTGTAATACTCTTTCTTCTTTTGTTTCGTTAGGTGGTATGGTCAGGAAAAAGACTACAATGTACTAGTCATGGATCTTCTGGGACCTAGCCTTGAAGACCTCTTCAATTTCTGTTCAAGAAGGTTCACAATGAAAACTGTACTTATGTTAGCTGACCAGGTATGTGAAATTTTGATTAGAATGTAAACCGAGAATAGTACTGTTGACTGGAATTTCGTCGTTCATAAATCAGAGTATTAAAATCCTATGCATCACTATTTAGCCTTAGCATAGGCAAAGATAATAATATGACTTGTAGATATTTTCATATGGGTATAAAACAAAAACTGGAATTATTTTGGTTTCTTACTCATCTGTAGACTAGTAGTTTTTTTTTTTCAATCTGCTCCTTGAGATGAAGTTTTAGTGTCAAATATAGCATGTTATCCTTGTAAGATTTTGTTTAGAGAAAGAGTTCAGAGTGTATGTATGCATATATTTGTAGATAAATGTATATTGATATTTTGGTTCAATTAAGCAAATTGAATATTATGTATTATGTGTGGGGCTCTTAGAAAAGCTACATTTTTGAGAATAAAAAGGTCCTGAAGTAATTTAAGGAATAATTTTTTTTGACCAAATAGATGCTACCTGGAGTAGTGGATTCTCAGCCATTTCTTAAGACCCAGGAAATTTTGAAGATGTCATGAATTAGATTGATGCATTGGCTGTAGGTTAGATTAAATGGTTTTTACAGCCAAAGTTTGGATATTTGATCTTTCCCCCCCCCCCAAAGATGGAATTTCTCCATGATGGCCAGGCTGGTCTTGAACTCCTGACCTCAGGTGATCCATCCAACTTGGCCTCCCAAAGTGCTAGGATTACAGGCGTGAGCCATCGTGCCCGGCTATTTGATCTTAAGAAATGAGAAAGATAGGGCCAGGCGCGGTGGCTCACGCCTATAATCCCAGCACTTTGGGAGGCTGAGGTGGGTGGATCACGAGGTCAAGAGATCGAGACCATCCTGGTCAACATGGTGAAACCCTGTCTCTACTAAAAATACAAAAATTAGCTGGGCATGGAGGCACTTGCCTGTAATCCCATCTACTCAGGAGGCTGAGGCAGGAGAATTGCCTAAACCCAGGAGGCGGAGGTTGTGGTGAGCCGAGATCGTGCCATTGCACTCCAGCCTGGGCAACAAGAGCAAAACTCTGTCTCAAAAAAAAGAAATGAGAAAGATAGAATAAGGAGCAAACCTTAAGGGAAAAGATAATACATTAAGATAATAATTGGTAAATATGAAGAAATTTGTAATTTTTGATCAGTATTTATTACCTTTAAGGGCAGGGTGTTGGAAATGCTTCAGGTTAAATTCAGTGTGCTTAGAAAAATACTGTGAAGAGAATGATATTTAAAAATATAGATTCAATGTCATAAAATAAGATAAATAGAATTGGTATTTGAGGTGGAATTTTAGTAAGTTTGTAAATTCAGAGGGATGAAGAGAAGTACATTATTGGGCACAAAAATACAGTAAGGAGGAATAAGTTCTAGTATTTCATAGTATGGTAGGGAAATTATAGTTAACAATAGCTTATCGTTTATTTCAAAATAGCTAGAAGAGTAGAATGCAATGTTCTCCAAAACAAAATATAAATCTTTGAAGTAATGGATATCCTAGTCACCCTGATAATGATTATTACACATTGTATATATGTATTAAAATATCACACATACCCCATAAATATATAAACAACTATTATTGATCAATGAAAAAACTTTGTAATTCAAAGGGTTAGAAATTAGTGCTCATTTTCTGTAATCAGCACCTGATAGTTCCCAAGCTTCTTAACCTAAAAAGTACTAAGTGGCTCAAGCAAATGTGAGCAAATTGTCATCAATTTGTGGCAGAAAAAACTCAAGCATTAAAAGGTTAAAAGTGGCCTGGCACACTGGCTCACACCTGTAATCCTGGCACTTTGGGAGACTGAGACAGGAGGATCTCTTGAGTCCAGTAGTTCAGGCTACAGTGAGCTATAATAATGCCACTGCACACCAGCCTGAGCAATGGAGCAAGACCCCCATCTCCTTTAAGTTAACAGCCTTTAATATGGACCGGGCTTGGTGGCTCATGCCTGTAGTCTCACTCAGCACTCTGAGAGGCCAAGGTGGGTGGATCATCTGAGGTCAGTAGTTTGAGAGCAACCTAGCCAATATGGTAAAACCCCATCTCTACTAAAAATACAAAAATTAGCTGGGTGTGATGACTCAATGCTGGTAATCCCAGCTACTCAGGAGGCTGAAGCATGAGAATTGCTTGAACCCAGGAGGTAGAGGTCGCAGTGAGCTGGGATTGCACCACTGCACTCCAACCTGGGGGATAGAACCAGATTCTGTCTTCAAAAAGAAAACAGCCTTTAATGTGTTTAAACTAATGTATTTGAGTGAATCCTAATAAAATAATTGTGGCTTATATTTTGTATGTTCAGTAACATGTACGTATTTATACATTGAACATGTATTGAGAGCCTACCATTGGACTTAGCATTGGGGTTTGGGGTGGCAAAAAGTAAGAATTAGTCTCTTCCCTCTAGAAAGAAACTTAGAGTCTAGTAGAGAAAAATGGAAAAATAAGATGTTCCATCTTTGTTGTAGAGTTGTAGCATCTCTGTTGGGTACACGGGTAACAGATGTGAAAAAATGTGATTCTGAGGGAGGGAGATACCAGAAAGCTTTCAGTTAAGGTGGTTAACACCTAAGTCTTGCTCTGTAGATGATAGGTAACAGGTCTAAGTTGATTAAGGCAGAGATTACTGGTTTGGCTTCAGAAGACATTTGTCAAGGTAGAAGAGTACAATTTAGAATCTGTGATTCATGATAATAAAAGCTCTGGGGGAAATGGGGACAAATAAAAAATAGGATCCTAACACATACTACTGAGAAGAGCAAGAACATATGGATAGAAAGATAATATTGGCAGTCTTTGGATATGGAATATATTTAAAAATACAACTTCTAAGTAAGTGTCTTACAGAAAAGATAGAGGCTGGGTGTGGTGGCTCACGCCGTAATCCCAGCACTTTGCGAGGCCGAATCGGAAGGATCACTTGAGCCTGGGAGTTCGAGACCAGCCTAGGCAACATAATAGTACCTTCCTCTCCACAAAATACAGAAAAATTAGCCAGGCACGTTTCTAGCCCCAGCTTCTTAGGGGACTGAGCTGAGAGGATACTTGAGCCCCGGAGGTTGAGGCTGCCATGAGCTATGATTTTGCCACTGCGCTCCAGCCTGGGTGACAAAGTGAGACCCTGTCTCAAAACAAAAACAAAAACTTCTATTGTATACAAGATATGCCATAAACAGTTAAAATAAAAAATATTTAAATCTATTTACATAATGATAAAAGGTTGTTTGTTGTCTGATGAGAACTCCTAAAAGTTAACAAGAAGATAAGCTGAAAGAAAAATAGGCAGAGTGTAGCTTGACAGTACATGGAAAAGTAAGTCCTCATAGAAGGAACTGCGCTCAGTGGTTCACACCTGAAATCCCAGCACTTTGGGAGGCCAGGGTGGGTGAATCACTTTAGGCCAGGAGTTTGGGACCAGCCTGACCAACATGGTAGAACCCCATCTCTACTAAAAATACAAAAAAAACTACCTGGGCGTGGTGGCGGTTACCTGTAATCCCAAGTGCCCGGGAGGCTGAGGCAGGAGAATCGCTTGAACCCAGGAGACAGAAGTTGCAGTGAGCCGAGATAGCCTGGACAGCAGAGTAAGACTCTGTCTCAAAACAAAAACAAAAACAAAAAATCTACCCCTAAATCCAGACCAGGCATGGTGGCTCATGCCTGTAATCCTACCGCTTTGGAAGTTTAAGGCAGGAAGATCACAGGAGTTCAAGAGAAGCCGGGCAACGTAACAACATCTTGTCTCTACTAAAAATTAAAAATTAGCTGACGCAAAAAATTAGGTTGAGTGTGATGGCATGCACCTGTAGTCTCAGTTACTCCAGAGGGTGAAATGGGAAGATCTCTGGAGTCTGGAAGGTTGAGGCAACCGTGAGTCATGGTCCCTTGACTGCACTCCAGCCTAGGTGACAGAGCGAGACCCTTTCTCAAAAAAAGAAGAGTAAATCCAAATTGTTACAGTCTATTGTGGAAGGCAGTGTGATATTATCTACCAAAATGAAAAATACACCTTTCAACCCAGCAACTCCCCATAATTGTAGGGGATTCGAAGCCCATAGAAATAAAAACACTAGTAGGTAAAGATATATGTCTATTAATAGCATTATTTATAATAGGAAAAAATGGAAAACTGAGAATACTGTGAGTTGGGGAAGACTTAACATCTCTACCATAGACTATCTGTAGCCATTAAAAAGAAATATTTGAGTTATAGCATTTGACTTTGCATTATTTCCAGGAAATTGAGTAAGGAAATCTTTTTAGAATGTTTTGTTTGATATTTAACTTTTGAATGGGATTATATAAGAATTATAACAACTGCTTATAGCTTTACCTGCCAGTCTACCAACATCCCTCACTCCCAAGTACTTGTGTGTGTCTGTGTGTATGTATATCTTACAGCATGGAAATACCAGGCCATTTTAACAGGTTACTTTAGAAGGCCTAGGATTGAGTATGGAAAGCTTTCTTAATTTCCTTTATTGTAGCAACTGATACAATTCCAAAGGTATTCCGTTGATTATTTGAAAATCACAAACACCAAGTCTTCCTGTGGGGTTAGACCCTGTCATGGTTTTAATCATTAATACTAGAAGGTAAAGCCAAAGGACGTAACAGGTATATGCTTAGATATCCATTAACGTAGAAATAAATGGAGACCTTAGTTGTCCTTTCCATTTCATTTTTTCTAACACTCTTTGTGAACTCTAAATAATTGAGATACTGTAATACTTAAGAAATAATATGTTGATTTTCATTTACTACTTAACTTAATTATCTCTCCCTTCCTTTTTTTCAGATGATCAGTAGAATTGAATATGTGCATACAAAGAATTTTATACACAGAGACATTAAACCAGATAACTTCCTAATGGGTATTGGGCGTCACTGTAATAAGGTTAGTCAAATGCTCTTTGCATGAAAGAACAAAGAGTAAAGTTGTGACAAGAATTGCTTTGGTACATTTTTCAATCTTTAAAAAGCCATAGTAAGTTGAATTTGCTCTTGACAGTTGCTTTAAAAGATTGTGCTGTAAATATAATCAGCTAACTCCATTAACTTAGTAACTTGAAATAAATTCTCTTCAACTTACCCAACCGAGGTTAGTTACCTATATGGAAATGTAAAATTCTAAGGGCTGTATAATGAACTGTAGTTGTCTAAGTTATTTAACTATTGAACAGTTGCATCTATTTTTCATTCACAAAAATAGCAAAAAGAAACCCATATTCTTTTCTTCCTGAATGCTAAAAACCAGATTTTAACCTTTGGCTCTGAAGTGTGGGTTTTTAAAATATATGTGCTTGTGCCAGTGTGGGAACACTGACTTATCTGTTACCATGGTGTTAGCAGTTGCTGACTGAGCATGGTTGATAATGAGAATTCTTCAGTCCTTGAATTTGTGTATTTAAAAGGATAACTTTTGGGCCTGCTTCAAAAGTCGTTGACAGTTTTTTACTTGGGTGCCAAGTTGGGTGAGTTCTTCACTCCTTCTCCCTTTAAAGGAAAATATAGACAAGTGAAATGAACATTCATACAATAAAACTAGTGTTCATTTGGGGTCTCTGAGAGTGGTTCAACTTATGGGGTGATTGGGTTTTAGCTAGTGACGCATGATTGCAGTTAGAACTAATTGTGTTGACCTTTTTTTTCTGTAATAATTAGTCTTACTGAGTGAATTGCTTTCTTTTATCGATTCTATGTTGAGCTCGGGCAGACAGGCAGCATTGGCAATGCACTAAGCATGTTGTGATCTGATGATCTATCTGATAGAAATTGTCAACTTCAGGACAACTTGGGGGCTTTTTTGTTTTTTGTAGTTTTTTGTTTTGTTTTTGAAAGGAAGGTGCCCATTTGTTTTACTAAACTGTTAGGGAATGTTTGGTGTTTTTAGGTCTAGCTATAAATGTTTACCTTTGTTTGCCTGTATGAATGCCAACTGGGAGCCATTACCGTTAGAATTGGTGTTATTTGTTAATGTGAGATACTGATGTTGGTCTGACCAGGTTTTAGGAAATTAATTTTTTATTTGTTGAGCTTTAAATAATGAAGGGTATTTAAATATACACATAACTTGTCATTCCCAAATTGCATTAAAAAATATTTTATAGCTTTTCTCTCAAGTTTCCAGGTTTTTAACTGTTATTGTAAAGCCTGGTAATTCAATTGAAAAAAAAAAAAATTACTGATCTTGTTTTGTCCGTTTGACTCCAATCTTCTTGGCCATTTCCCAGCTCTCTCCTTCCCTTTTTCTTACCCCTAAAAAACCATTATCACCTTGTGATTTCTGTTCTGCATCATTGATATTGCAGTACATCGTTTTTGCCTTAAATTTAAATGATGACCTAGATATCACTTTGCCTTCCCCGCTACAACCCCCTTAAGAATAGCTTGTTAATCACATAGTTGTCTTAAGGAAGCCTAAGTTTCCTAGTGGTAAAAACCTTTTTAGGAGGTTTAGGTCTCCTTTTCTCCTTGTAGATATTGAAAGAATTTTGTGGAGGTGTTTGCTGTTTAACACCGTTTTAGAGAGGCCCTGGGGTAGAACCAAAGTGTTTTACTCAACTAAGATTCAAATACTAAATGTTGCTCTTGAACATTTTTAGATTCGTTTTTGTTTATGTAGTTGATTTTTAGTGTTTTCTGTATTGTAGTTTGAAAAATACCAGTTGTATCAGACTGGATTCTTTGGTCAGCTTGTTCCAGTAGTTTTCTATTCACGGGGAAAAAAAGGTTTTGGGGGGCTTTTGAGGACAATTTTTGAAGTTGAATTTCTTATTTGGAAAATTGTTCTGAATTTGATATTTAGGAGTGGCCACTCCAATCTTAGTGAATTTGCTCATCTCTTCCTGTAATCAGCCCTGCATGCTTACGAAAATAAATTTTAAGGTGACTAAATGCCTTCTACCTCTTCCTTACTGAAGATTTTTTTCCCCCGCACAATCTTTTTTTGGGGGGGAAGGGCAGATTGTGGTACCAAAGATTACAGATCTAAATTCCCCATTTTTAATTAAAAAAATTAAAGAGCCAAATGTCACCATTGCTATCCCTGTTTCAGGCAGTGACACAAAATAGTGGCATTAAAATCCTGAGTAATTTCCAGAATTCAAATGTTCTCGAGTATGTGATTCTTATTTGGAAAACTGAGAAGCTACAGTGCTTGGTGGAAGAAGGATGGCATTTGGCTACCCTGTTCTTTCTCTAATGCCTCGGTGTTGCCTGTCTGCGCCGGCCATTGTTGCAATGTAAGCAATACTGTTTGATGCACTGCCACCCTCTATTGTCTGTTTAGTGTTTAGAATCTCCAGTGGGGAAGAGGAAAAGAAGCATGACTGTTAGTACTTCTCAGGACCCATCTTTCTCAGGATTAAACCAGGTCTGAAACTGTCTCCTATTCCAACCTCAATCCCAAATTCATGTGCTTTTCTTTTTTATTGTTTTATTTTGATGATTTTTGTTTTGTTTTAATTCTGGAGAATGTAGATCTTGCTCAAGCACCTCTTACGTTGGCATTATTCAGACATACTTGGCAAACATAACATTACTAAGATATTTCTTTGTGGCTTTTGCTTAAAACTTGTAAAGTTTAGAAAAAAGCTAAATGACAATAGGATATGTTTAGATCTCTAACATACATATGAGGAAATGATGTTGGTCTAGTACTGAAATTGTTTACCTAATAGTGAACTTGAGATAGATTGTTAGATTTTAAAAATGTATTTGGAGTTACACAACTTAATGCACGAAATATATTTAAATTCAGTTCATCAGTGCTATATAATGAATATATTCTACCTCACTTCTCTTCCCCTTCCCTAAGGAAATTCAGGTAAGTGTAGATCAGATTTCAGATCTAGTGTTTCTAGAACTTACTTCCTCAGTCTGTATTCTCAACTTCTAGCAAATGGATATTTACAGAGCATTATATGCTCTGGAACTAGAAGATACTGCATTCCTAACAATATAACAATAACATAGCTTAAGCACTTATCAAGCTATATGGTAGATTACCATTAGTAATACATTGAAATAAATTTAGTTTTTGGCAGGCTGAATAAACACCCTACTAATTTTCTAAATGTGCAAGAACTCTTCATATTTTCTTATGCTTTTGTTGAAGTTAAATACCTTTTTTATCACAAAATTTAGGTATATAAATTTTCATGCTCCTGAGCAAATGAATCTTAATCATTCAGTTTAGTATACAGTGAAAAGGAGGTATTGGCATGAGTAATCAAAAAACATACTTTATAATACCTTAATTATCCACATGTATCATCTGAATAATCATTTAATCCTTTTCCATACTGCCCAGCTTTATTCCAGGAACCACCTCAAGCTATTACAAAAGATTTCAGAACTTCAAAGTTATTTTTATTCAGGCAAAGGAGTACCAAGTGTTGTGACTAGATAAGGGTTGGGGGAAAGAGAGTAGATGGTAGATAATTAGGTATATTATAAGAATATAATTTTCAAAACTAGTTTTATAATGCCTCATTTTTACTTACCCATTCACATATTTTGCTTACATTTTGTAGCATCATTTAATAATTTACATAGAAAGTTATATTAAATTGTTTAGATTTTGTACACGCAGGTTAGCTACGTTTTTAGTGAAGTGACGTTGTGAATATTTTGGAAGGGCAAGGGGAATTAGGACCCCTAGTTAGGAAAAAAAATGCTGCAAGCACTAAACACTAAAATTAGCAACAGTGATTTTGAAGAAAATGTGCCTCTATTCAATGGAATTATCCCCCTTCCCCCACCTTTTTTTTTGAGAAGGAGTTTCACTCTGTCGCCCAGGCTGGAGTGCACCATGCAATGGTGAGATCTCGGCTCACTGCAACTTCCACCTTCCAGGTTCGGGCAGTTCTCCTGACAGCCTCTTGAGTAGCTGGGATTACAGGCATGCACCGCCATGCCCAGCTAATTTTTATATTTTTAGTGGAGACGGGATTTTACCATGTTGGCTAGGCTGGTGTTGAACTCCTGACCTCAAGTGGTCCACTCGCCAAAGTACTGGGATTACAGACATGAGCTACTGCGGCCAAATTATCCCCTATTTATCAACTCATTTCTGTGTGCCTTTGGAGAATAGGCTGCATTATTTAACATGCAATTAGTAAAAAGCAACAGAAAAGGAGCTTGACCCACTGAAGAAGTACCTGTGTCTTTGCACATAAAAGCCTATAATACAAATATATTATCTTATGCTTATTTGATACTGACTTTTCCTCATTTGATTCTGCCTTAACATATTTATAGCTTTTTGGTTGTATCCTTGGCATGATGTGGTTTCATGTAAACGCTTCCATTATATGTTTATATTTATTAGTTTTTTATTTTATTTTTGAGACGGAGTCTTGCTCTGTCACCCAGGTTGGAGTGTAGTGGTGCCATCTCGGCTCACTGCAACCTCCACCTCCTCAGTTCAAGCAATTCTCCTGCCTCAGCCTTCTGAGTAGCTGGGATTACAGGCTCACACCACCCCAATCGGCTAATTTTTTTGTATTTTTAGTAGAGATGGGGTTTCCCTATATTTGGCCAGGCTGGTCTTGAACGTCTGACTTCGTGACAGACTAGGCCCGACTAGACCTCCCAGAGAGCTGGGATTATAGGTGTTGAGCTCCTCACCCAGCCTATATTTATTAGTTTTAAACTGCAAAGCATACAGAGAGAGCTACTAAAGAAGCTTGATAGGTACCCAAAGGTAATGAACTACCAAGAGTTTTATTTCCTTTTTTAATTTTAAGTAGTTTCCTATTCAGTTGTTTGCTGAGAATAGGCTATCTTTGTTCAGTAGTAAAATTTTTTTCCTGACATATTTTCAGTTTTTGTAAAAGGAGAACATTTAAAATTATTTGCTTTTAGGCCGGGCGCGGTGGCTCAAGCCTGTAATCCCAGCACTTTGGGAGGCCGAGGTGGGTGGATCACAAGGTCAAGAGATCGAGACCATCCTGGTCAACATGGTGAAACCCCGTCTCTACTAAAAATACAAAAAATTAGCTGGGCATGGTGGCGCGTGCCTGTAATCCCAGCTACTCAGGAGGCTGAGGCAGGAGAATTGCCTGAACCCAGGAGGTGGAGGTTGCCGTGAGCCGAGATCGCGCCATTGCACTCCAGCCTGGGTAACAAGAGCGAAACTCTGTCTCAAAAAAAAAAAAAAATTATTTGCTTTTAAAATTTTTGTTTTTATATTAAAGATTGAGATATTTAAGAAGATAGTGTTTATATATTTATAGTTTCTTGATAAACAAGGTTTCCTCCTTTAGCGTTGTGGGAGGAAAGAATCTCCAGTGAACACTGAATTTTTATAAAGCAGTCTTTTGGTTGTGAGAAAGTATCTGGTTATTGAGTCACAAATGAAGCTATTGAATGTAGTTTTAGACATGAATGAAACTGTTAGATATACTTATGTCAGAGCTCTTCCCTTTTGTCCTTCATTTAAAAGTACCAAAGGAAGCAATTCTAGAAAATGTGCACTAGAGGAAATTCTATGTACTAATCACTCTTCATTCAAAGTCTATGTATTTCTCAGAGATATTTTTAAAATACCATGAAGCTGAATGTCCTTTTGTGTTTATTTTCCCCATGTTTTGTTTTCACTATGAATCTGCGGAACTTAATCATCACTTTTGTTTTGCTTAATAAATGTATTTTGCTCATTTTAATATTTGTGTATTGAGCTGGTTTTCATATCAAGAGAAACTTAAAGTATGAACTTTATTTCTTAGTGTTTTACAACACTAATTTTCTTATAATTATTTGATGCTTAGGAAGGGAGTTTAATCTTATTACTTGGAGAGTTTTCATCATCTAGTAACATTTACTAATAATTTAGTCTTCATTCTTTTATCGTAAACTAAGTAAAAATAAGTATCTCGTTGTCGACATGTTGACTGAAGCTCAAATGGCAGTGTCTTATTGTTCAGAGTATAATTGAGAATAGGTTATAATGCTTGGCTGAAGTAGGTGTTACTCATGCTCCTAAGAGAGGTACTTGGTCAGATCTTTATAACCTAAATCAGTAACTTGCTTTATTTATTTATTTACTTATTTATTTATTGACATGAAATCTGCAGATTAGGTGATTGAGTTTTCCTGCACATTACAAATTATAAAATGGCAAAAGGGACCCAATAGCCTAATGGAGAGAAGAATTACAAAATGCAGGAATAACTAGAGAACAATAGACTAGGTCTATATAGTTTAAGGGAACATACACCTGCCCAGCTTAATAATATTTGTAGATGCCGGGCGCGGTGGCTCAAGCCTGTAATCCCAGCACTTTGGGAGGCCGAGGCGGGTGGATCACGAGGTCAAGAGATCGAGACCATCCTGGTCAACAAGGTGAAACCCCGTCTCTACTAAAAATACAAAAAGTTAGCTGGGCATGGTGGCGCGTGCCTGTAATCCCAGCTACTCAGGAGGCTGAGGCAGGAGAATTGCCTGAACCCAGGAGGCGGAGGTTGCGGTGAGCCGAGATCGCGCCATTGCACTCCAGCCTGGGTAACAAGAGCGAAACTCCATCTCAAAAAAAAAATAATAATAATAATATTTGTAGATTAACTATTATTAAAATATAGCATAATAGGTGATTTTATGACAAAAGCCAAAATGTTAAGTAAAGATTATTTCTCTTCATATGATAGGTAAAATGAATATGTTTTGGAGGGTTTTTTTCCCCTCACAAAAATAGTTACGTATAAAAGGCTTAAGTTCTGGAGTGTAAACTTGAATTATATAGAACAATTAGCTACATTATAAATGAATACCCTTTATTCAGGTTTTCATGCTGCAAAAAAAAAAAAAAAAAGAAAGAAAGAAAGAAATGAATACTTTATTCCCCGAGTACCATATAGACAAAATAACACTGAATGTTATTTTGTTCTAACACTAGTTTTGTTTTTAGTTAGCTCACTTAAAGTACTAATTGTAAGCCACCCTGATTTAAATGCTAAGTGCTTTTTGGGGGGTTTTTTATATCAGCTTGTTAAATTGTCCAGAAGTTTAGCCTGACACATGTGTATAGTGTCAGTGCTAAGTAGCATTTTTTATTAATAAAAAGTCTTGGTTTCACTGGCAATATTAAGACTTTCAGGGTAGACAACAAGCATTCTGTTGGCCATTGTAGGAGGGAGAAGTTGTGATAGCCTATATCTGTTTTTTTGTGGGTTTTTTTTTTTGTGGTTTTTTGGTTTTTGGTGTTTTTTTGTTTTGAGATGGAGTTTTCATTGTCTCCCAGGCTGGAGTACAATGGCACAGTCTTGGCTTACTGTAACCTCTGCCTCCTGTGTTCAAGCAATTCGCCTACCTTAGCCTCCTGAGTAGCTAGGACTACAGGTGCCTGCCACCACCCCCAGCTATTTTTATAATTTTAGTAGAGATGGGATTTTGCCATGTTGGCCAGGATGGTCTTGAACTCCTGACCTCAAGTGATCCGCCCGCCTCAGCCTCCCAAAGTGCTGGGATTATAGGCATGAGCCATTGCTCTTGGCCCTTATATCTAGATTTTGAAACCTCATGTTTGTTTATCGATAGCAACAGACTATCAGGTGTCATTATGACAAGTAGCTCACTTGTCACTTCTGCTGTCAGGCATGTATACATTTCTCTACTTACTTTATAAAGACAGGCTCCTGTGTATGTAAAGAAATGAGCCTGTGAGATTTGCAAATGACAAGAATAAACTACTAGACTTTTAAAAAATTTGATTTAATGATGAAGACTAGTAAAAGCTTATGGGAGGTGGTGTTAAGTGTGTTCGTTATCTGTTCTAGTAATACTTGGGATACTTTATTTTGATGTATTTGAGTGCATAGTATAGATTCCACTTAATGAATATGAAGCAGTTTAATTGAACAAGGTTGGAAACCTAATGTTTCTGTATTTCTCTTTTAAAGTTATTCCTTATTGATTTTGGTTTGGCCAAAAAGTACAGAGACAACAGGACAAGGCAACACATACCATACAGAGAAGATAAAAACCTCACTGGTACTGCCCGATATGCTAGCATCAATGCACATCTTGGTATTGAGCAGAGGTAAGTTAGAAAATGGAATGTGCTTATCATAGCCATAGCAGAAGCCATCGAGGGGTTCTTGAAATATTTTAATTAGCTTCTTACAATGTCTAAGCATGTTTCTTGGCTGAAGATTTGAAGGATGCTTATTAATCATTTTACCTGCTGCTTTAGCCAGTGTTGAGAAGCCAGTTAGATGAGGTATTTTTGTTTTTTCTTGTTGTTGAAGGTTTTTTCTTGAGGGGAAAATACTGCTTGTTTGAAAGTTAGAAGGCTAAATGCAATGTTGACATTTCTTTTTGCAGCTGAAAATATGTTATTAGTGTCCTAATAAACCAAAAGGGGGTTAATAGAAATCTTCTGTTATACTTCACTCACATATGTCAATTAATAGGGTCTAGTTTAAAGTAAGAAAATTTCAGTCTCTGCTCTCTTTCTGTTTCTTCATATGAGATCTAGAGTTTTCAAGCTCATCTTTTACAATCATGTTTCATTCCTTAAAACAAACATAGAATTAATTGGAAAAAACAATGATATGCGTCCAGGTTTAAGAACCTCATGCAAATGATTTCAAGCTTAAGATATCCATGAATAACTGAATACTCTAGGTTAAACTGTAATGTCACTTTTCCTATATGCCAAAGAATTACCTATCCTTGAACCTATCTATCTATATATTTGTATGTATGTGTATATAGATATATATGTGTGAATACATTGATACAGATGTTCAGATGTTTCATTAGTTTTAAGTTGTAAACTCCTTTTCAGCACTTTTTTTTTTTTTTTTTTTTTTTTTTGAGATGGAGTTTTGCTCTTGTTGCCCAGGCTGGAGTGCTATCGCGAGACCTCGACTCACCACAGCCTCCACCTCCCGGGTTCAAGTGATTCTCCTGAGTAGCTGGGATTACAGACATTTGCTACCATGCCCGGCTAGTTTCTGTTTTTTTTTTTTTTTGTTTTTGTTTTTTTTTTTTTGTAGAGATAGGGTTTCTCCATGTTGGTCAGGCTGGTTTTGAATTTCTGACCTCCGGTGATCTACCCGCCTCAGCCTCCCAAAGTGCTGGGATTACAGGCGTGAGCCACCGAGCCCAGCCTCCTAAGTTATCGTAATGAGTTTCTGCAAAATTTAGAAATGTTGTCCTGCTTGGTTCATTGAGCTAATTTCTCTAGAGAACTGTTTAGCTAAATCTTTTTGTTCTTTTAAAATTAAATTGTTATCTTCAAGGTTTTTTTTGTGTGTGTGAAGAGTAAAAAAAATAAATAAAATTAAGTTGTAAGACAGTTGTTTGTCTGATTTTGGATTCCATGAGAAAAGTTTTGTTTAGAGGTAACACGTGAACTTTTAAAAATCACCTTAAATAAGTAGCTTCTTGCATAAGACACCAAATTGTGTTCCCTCCGCATTTGGGAACATGTCTTCTGGGTGCTTGGCTTTCTTTCACATGTTTTTAATAATAACAGTTCCAGTTCATAAAATTACGTTCTCTTTTCTAGTCGCCGAGATGACATGGAATCATTAGGATATGTTTTGATGTATTTTAATAGAACCAGCCTGCCATGGCAAGGTCTAAAGGTAAATCAGACTCACATTATCAGATTTTTCTCTTTCTTTTTTAGAATAAAAATATGTATTGGAGAAGATAAGATTTACTTTCCTTTTTAAATCTGAGATTTTTCTGAGATAATAAAGAATTAACCTTAATTTGCTTTATACCTTTTATTTGGGAAACTGAAACCAGATCATTTTAGTAAGAACTTAGTTCAGCTGAAAAACAATATCCTCTGAGAGAACAGTAAGCTGGTACCCACTGGTAGCCGTTAGCTCTGTCTAGATGGAAGTGGGCATGGACTAAGAAAGGTGGAGACTTTCTCATTTTGATGTGTTGCCATTATGTTGAAAATGTATGTTTTTATGTACAGCAAAATCTGTTTCTCCAGCAATACTTGTCATTTATGCAATGCGTATGGTAACATTTTGTTTCTGTTACCTAGGAGTTTCACCATTGCTTTTGTGAGTGTGTGTTAATAATCACTGTGTTCTAATTTTTGGGTTGGGGGGATGGGGGAATGGTCTCGCTCTGTTGTCCAGGCTGGAGTGCAGTGACACACTTGTGGCTAACTGCAGCCTCCACCTCCTGGGCTCAAGCAGTCCTCCAACCTCAGCCTCCCAAGTAGCTGGGACTACAAGAACATGCCACCATGCCCACCTAAGTTAAAAATTTTTTTTTGTAGAGATGGTGCTTCACTATGTTGCCCAAACTGGTCTCCAACTCTTGGGCTCAAGTGATTCTCCTGCCTCAGCATCCCAAAGTACTAGGATAACAGATATGAGCCACCACTGCTGGTATGTCCTAAATTTAATGGCTATTTTGATACCTTTGCAGTTCTTTGAAGAAAGACCTGTATTTATTGAGTGGCTGTGAGCTATAGTGCTTGGTCCTTGGCTAGGTAGCTTTATCCAATAAGAGTATTTTTTTTTTTTTTTTTTGAGATGGAGTTTCACTCTTGCTACCCAGGCTGGAGTGCAATGGCGCGATCTCGGCTCACCGCAACCTCCGCCTCCTGGGTTCAGGCAATTCTCCTGTCTCAGCCTCCTGAGTAGCTGGGATTACAGGCACGCGCCACCATGCCCAGCTAATTTTTTGTATTTTTTAGTAGAGACGGGGTTTCACCATGTTGACCAGGATGGTCTCGACCTCTTGACCTCGTGATCCGCCCGCCTCGGCCTCCCAAAGTGCTGGGATTACAGGCTTGAGCCACTGCGCCTGGCCCAATAAGAGTATTTTTACTTTGAAAAACATTGTGACATATACAATTAACTCCATGTATTAATGTCCCTAAATGATGAACAAATTATTTATATTAATCTGATGCCTTTGCCTTTTTTGTTGAACATGGGTTAAGAACATGCTTTTCAGGTTGAGCATATTGGCTCATGCCTGTAATCTTCAACACTTTGGGAGGCCCAGGTGGGCAGATCACTTGAGTCCAGTAGTTCAAGATCAGCCGGTCAATGTGGCAAGACTCGCCTCTACTTAAAAAAAAAAAAAAAAAAAACTCGGCAGGGTGTAGTGTCACATGCCTCTAGTTCCAGCTACTTAGGAGGCTGAGTCAGGAGGATTGCTTTGAGCCCAGGAGTTAGAGCATACAGCATGCTATAATTGAGCCACTGCACTGCAGCCTGGGCAACAGAGGGAGATCTTGTCTCAAAAAAAGATAAAAAAAGAAAATGCTTTTCAGCTGGGTATGACGATGCACACCTGTAGTCCCAACTACTTGAGAGGCTGAGTCAGGATTACTTGAGGCCAGGAGTTGGAGGCCACAGGAAATTACTGCTGAGACTATGAATGGCTACTGCACTCCAACCTGGGCAACATACTGAGACCTCATCTCCTTAAAAAATATATATGTATATATAAATATCTGTGTGTGTGTATTTGTATGTATATATACATATGTATATGGAGAGAGAGAGAGAGAGAGAGAGAGAGAGAAAGAATGCTTTTCAATTATGGCCCCAGCCATTTTTACTTAAATCTGAGATACTCATATGAATATATGATATTCATATATCCCTTTTAGACTCACCCTTTCCCTGTAGCTAAAATTATGTTGTTTCTTTATTTAAGAGGCAGTGGTTGAGGCTACTGGATGGTTGCTGGCCAGTGACCAGTCCCAAGGCTGGCCAGGTAACTCTGCCACCACTACTGCGCCAGTGGCCTCGGCCCTGCCCCCTAAAATTATGTTCTTAAAGAAGAAACTTACATCAGAAGTTTGGGAAAAACTTTTTTTAGATGTATTGTACTTTGATTTTTTAAATTCTGGGTTAAAATTTCTCTTGAGAGTCTCACAGGTATATGTTTACATGTCTTGTGCATTAAACTACTAAGGTTCTTCTCAGTAGCACTTAGTATATCTTTTTGATTTAATTCTTTTCCACAGGCTGCAACAAAGAAACAAAAATATGAAAAGATTAGTGAAAAGAAGATGTCCACTCCTGTTGAAGTTTTATGTAAGGTAAATATGCATGATGAATATTTTAAAAACCATAAATGAAGCCAGGCACAATGAAGCCTGTAATCCCAGCACTTTGGGAGGCCAAGGCAGTAGGGTCACTTCAGCCCAGGAGTTCAAGACTAGCCTGGGCAACATAGGGAGACCCCTTTTCTGCCTTAATAGATAAATGTCCTGTCTGGGCACCGTGGCTCATGCCTGCAATCCCAGTACTTGAGGAGGCCGAGGCGGGCAGATTGCTTACGCCCAGAAGTTCGAGTCTAGCCTGGGCAACATGGTGAAATCCCTTATATACCAAAAACCCAAAGGTTAGTTGGGTGTAATGATGCACGTCTGTGGTCCCAGCTACTCAGGAGGCTGAGGCAGAGGATCACTTGAGCCCAGGAGGTGCCACTTGCAGTGGTGCGGTCTTGGCTTTGCAATGATCTGAAGTTGCACTGCTGCACTCCAGCCTGGGTGACAGAGTAAGACTCTCTGTCTCATATGAGTGAATATATGAATGAATAATCCAAGAAGAAAAAGGAAAATTTTATTGGCTAGTCCTGGAACTTGTAACATCCAGTAGGTAGCTATTCACCATTTTAAATTTATCATAGGGGTCTTTTTAAATAAGTGTTTTTGCTGGGCACACTGGCTTACACCTGTAGTCCAGTTTGATAGACCGAGGTGGGTGGATCGCTTGAGCCCAGGAGTTTGAGACCAGTCTAGACAAGATGGTAAAATGCAATCACTACAAAAAATACAAAAATTAGCCTGATATGGTGATGCATGCCTGTAATCCCAGCTTCTTGGGGATGCTGGGACAGGAGGACAGCTTGAGCCCAAGAGGTCGAGGCTGCAGTGAGCCAAAATTGCACCACTGCAATCCAACTTGGGTGACAGAGTAAAGACCCTGTCTCAACAAATGGTTTAAGTAGATTAAGTGTTTTATGTTTCTGGTTCGTTAGGGCTCTCTAATCTGTTGAAAATTAGGGAAAATAAACAGGGCAGGTAAACATTTTCAATACAACCTCATTAATCTATAAGAAAAAGTATGAAATATTCTCCTTATCCTAAACTAGTGCTTGAAAAGAAAGATTATCAATGATTAGTACATTAAGGAACAGGGAAACATACAGGCAGATTGGAGCAATCCAAAATATCAGTTGTCCAACAATACAGAAATACAGAAGACAGTTTGAATCACACTCATTTTTTCCTGAAATTTTCAACTTCATAGAAAGGCAATTGAGTTTAAGAATAGAGAGGGATGGCCAGATGCAGTGGCTCACACCTGTAATCCCAGCACTTTGGGAGGCCGAGGCTGGTGGAACACAAGGTAGAAAGATCGAGACCATCCTGGATAACATGGTGAAACTCCATCTCTACTAAAAATACAAAAAATTAGCCAAGCATGGTGGTGCGCACCTGTAGTCCCAGCTACTTGGGAGGCTGAGGCAGGAGAATTGCTTGAACCCAGGAGGTGGAGGTGGCAGTGAGCCAAGATCATGCCACTGCACTCCAGCCTGACAACAGAGCAAGGCTCCATCTTAAAAAAAAAAAAAAAAAAAAGGAAGAAATTTGTGTTATGATGAATAACCATATCTCTTCCATAAAAAGAAGGTATTTCAGATAAGAAAAGAATTGTATACCTGAACTTAAGTACAAAGCAGTATACAAAAAAATAGTTGAGGGAAGAAATCAGTGAGAGTTAAAATAGTAATTTTAAAGTTATGAGATTCTTTTCAGTTTCGTTGTCATGCTGTTTCCCATTAACACAGACCGTAAATGTTAAGAGTTTTAGATGTATAATGCGTATTATTGTACACCTTTTAACATATGCATGTTTCAAGTGGTCACCCAATTTATATCAGTGCAATCAGTAAAAAATGTTGCAAGTATTTTTGTTCTGTCCTGCTTAACTACAGGAAGTGAGAAATTATTCAAAATCATAAGGTTGTAGGAAGAGACTGCTTCCTTTAACTTTACCAGTTTCCACATTGGCACTTACTCTAGGAGAGGAGATAGAGAGGTTTGTGCTGTTGTCATATTTTGTATTTCCACATTGCTGATTGGGGAAAATCCTTTTGGTGACCAATATCTAGAGCCTTAAAAATGTTTATACATTGTTGAGAATCTTTCCTAAGAAACTAAATCGAAAAAGTCTATACCTATGGATATACTTAGCAGTATTACATCTAAATGTTCAATTATAAGGAGCAAGTTAATGATGTATATATTAGGTACAATACCATGCAACCAACCATTCAGAAGCTTTTGAAGGCCGGGCATGGTGGCTCATGCCTGTAATCCCAGCAGTGTGAGAGACTGAGGAGGCCAAAGCAGGAAGATCACTTGAGCTTGGGAATTTGAGATCATCCTTGGCAACATGACAAAACCTGTCTCTACCAAAAAATATTAAAAATTAGCTGGGTGTGGTGGCTTGTGCCTGTAGTCCCAGCTACTCAGGAAGCTGAGATTGGAGGATCGGTTGAAGCCTGGGAGGTGGAGGTTGGAGTGGGCTGAGATTATACCTGTGCACTCCAGCCTGGGAGACAGATGGAGACCCTGTCTTAAAAAAAGGGTGGGGGGTGGGACTGATAAAATGACAAATTTTAACAAGTGAGCTATGTAAGTTATTTAAGAACATAGTAGGCCGGGCGTGGTGGCTCACGCCTGTATTCCAAGCACTTTGGAGGCCAAGGTGGGTGGATCACCTGAGGTCGGGAGGGCAAGACCAGCCTGACCAACATTGTGAAACCCCGTGTTAAAAAAAAAAAAAAACAGAAAAACATAGTACTGTTTAGGAAGAGCACTGTATGAGAAAAGCATATGTATTTTTTCTACCAATGTTGTACATAATAGGGTGGATAGGGTCATGAAATTATAAATTTATGAGGAGACCAAATCATTATTATTTTAGCTCTCATAGCTTCCTATGAAGTGGTAAAATATCCCACCCAAAAACGTCTTTTTGCTTGTACTTAAATGTGTGTGTGTGTTTTTTTTTTTTTTTGGTATCTTGAAATGTTTGTTTTTAACTTTGTTTTAACCCTTGAACCTATAGGGGTTTCCTGCAGAATTTGCCATGTACTTAAACTATTGTCGTGGGCTACGCTTTGAGGAAGCCCCAGATTACATGTATCTGAGGCAGCTATTCCGCATTCTTTTCAGGTCAGTTTTTAAGGTATTTTTAAGATTTTAAACTCTGTGAGGGAAATTGGTTAAATATAAATACTAAAGTGAAGCAGATCTAACTAATATGAATAAAAGGTTTAAGAAACTGATTTATTTGGGACTGATTTGGCATTTTTCTATTTGTAGTGTAAATATTATTCAAATGATTTTAGTTTGGAGTGGATAGAGAGTTGAATCAGACTCAAAGTAGAATGTAACTTTTCTAGATAGTTATAATTCACATTAGATATAAGTGACTGTTAGTGCCCTCTGGAACTCTCCAACTTTGGTACAGTACAAAATAGAAAAGCAATTAAAATATCACATAGTCATGGAATCTGATCAAGTGGTGATAGTCCTAAACTAGGGTAGTGTTCCTTAGGCATAACCCAGAATTGGTCTTGGACAAGGTGCTGGGTGGTAGGGGGCAGAGTGTTGGCACCGAATACATTACATGTGGCTCAGACTCTTAGTTGGAAGAGAATAAGAATTGAGGTAATCCGGCCAGGCATAGTAGCTCGCACCTGTAAACACCCAGCACTTTGGGAGGCTGAGGTGGGCAGATCATTTGAGGCCAGGTGTTTGAGACCAGCGAGTGAAACTGTGTCTCAAAAAAAAAAAAAAAAAAAAGGGGCAGGTAACTCTTTAACTCCAGAAAAGTGTCTTCCCAAAGTACCAGTCAGATATCTTATTCCTAAACTTCCAGTTGAATATTTACTCTTACTTGTTTTTAGGAAGTACCTCCTCTTATACGTATTCCCCTAGATCAGGCGTCCCCAAACTTTTTACACAGGGGGCCAGTTCACTGTCCCTCAGACCGTTGGAGGGCCGCCACATACTGTGCTCCTCTCACTGACCACCAGTGAAAGAGGTGCCCCTTCCTGAAGTGCGGCGGGGGCGCAGATAAATGGCCTCAGGGGGCCGCATGCGCGGGCCATAGTTTGGGGACGCCTGCCCTAGATAATTGACAGCTTGACTCGGTGTTTCAGTTTTCATGCTGCCTTTTTCATCTATATTAAGAGAAGTATTTTAGAGGCTGCCACACTTGAGGAAATACTCGTTGTGTAAAGAAGTGCCCTCACTGTCTTAAAACATTAGTAGGTTATATAACTGGACTCTATTATTGAAGGATTAACATAAAATATTTTATCTTTTCCAGGACCCTGAACCATCAATATGACTACACATTTGATTGGACAATGTTAAAGCAGAAAGCAGCACAGCAGGCAGCCTCTTCCAGTGGGCAGGGTCAGCAGGCCCAAACCCCGACAGGCAAGCAAACTGACAAAACCAAGAGTAACATGAAAGGTTAGTAGCCAAGAACCAAGTGACGTTACAGGGAAAAAATTGAATACAAAATTGGGTAATTCATTCATTTCTAACAGTGTTAGATCAAGGAGGTGGTTTTAAAATACATAAAAAATTTGGCTCTGTGTTAAAAAAAAAAAAAAGACGTCCTTGGAAAATTTGACTACTAACTTTAAACCCAAATGTCCTTGTTCATATATATGTATATGTATTTGTATATACATATATGTGTGTATATTATATCATTTCTCTTGGGATTTGGGGTCATTTTTTAACAACTGCATCTTTTTTACTCATTCATTAACCCCCTTTCCAAAAATTTGGTGCTGGGAATATAATATAATATCAATCAATCCAAAATCCTAGACCTAACACTTGTTGATTTCTAATAATGAATTTGGTTAGCCATATTTTGACTTTATTTCAGACTAACAATGTTAAGATTTTTTATTTTGCATGTTAATGCTTTAGCATTTAAAATGGAAAATTGTGAACATGATCTAATATCAAGAGGTGAGTCTGGCATTACCCCCGAAGTGTCCATCTTCTCAGTTGCAGAGCATCTCGTTTACTCTCTTAAATGCTCACATAACTGCAAAACTCAGCACATCTTTTCTAGTCACAAAAATAATTCTCTTATTTGCAGTTTAACCACATATGATCTTAATTTCAAAATAATTTCTTTGGTTTTGGCTTTATTTTTTACAATGTTGCAAATATCAGGCTCTCAGGGTTTAATGTGCAATTGAAGTCTACAGTCAGGCCTTGCAAATTGAAGATGACTGGGGCAAATGCCATTGAAACTGCTGGTCTATTTCCTTTCTACCTTTCTCTGGCACTCTTACTGCCTGTAAGGAGCAGAACTGTTAGGGCACACTGTTGCCATACAGTTTGACTCTCATTTTCATGTTTTATTCTTCTTTTCCCATTTCTGGGGCTTACTTCCTGATAGCTGCCTACTTTCTGGAAGTAGTGGGCTTTCTGGAAGTAGTGGGCAAGTAAGATTTGGCTTTTGGTTTCTAATTTTTAAATTTCTGAATGACTGCTCTAGTCTGAACTTGGCCTTTATAGATTAATATTTGCTTCACATTTTAGTGTTGTATTTAAACTATTTTATAATTTAAAAATAGATTCTAATCTGAAGATACTTTTCGAGAAATATTATTAACTGATGTCATCCTCATCCCGGGAGCTCATCTGTTAGGAATGAAGTTGAGATGCTTCTCTTACATGTTTCTGTATTTGGGAAGGATTCAAAGTTGATGGTTTATTGTCATTGGGATTTTCAGATGGTGACATTTCAACTCAGGATAGCAAACACTAATGTTCGCCTGTGCATCTCAGTTGTTCCTTAATTGCCCCTTTTCAGTGTTTTAATCATTGTATAACTAATCATAGTGCCAAGAAGTTCATAATGTGTTATGTGGCTAGTGTCACTGAAAAACGGTCCTACCATTTAAGTAAGAGTCTCTAACCCAAGGACTTACTACAGCTGACACCTATAGTGTATTGTGCTTTTTCTCACAAAATGAGACCAATTCTGCCTAAAGCTAGCTGGGATAATAGGATCATCACAAGTTGCAGTTTCTGTAACTATAATTAGATTGAAATCTCATCTGACCTAGAACATTTTACTTCGGGCATTCAGCAGACTTCAGAAAGAATTAACTTTTTTTTTAGTTAGTTCCTTTGTTAATTTACTATGTGTCTCTTATTCAATAAACGAGCAGAATTTTTGTCCTGCCTTATCCAGGTCGTAAAGATGAGAAGTTGGATCCACTCAGTTGGGATGTTTCCTTGGATGAGGGGGAAACTGTAATTAAACCTGTTTAATCCTTGTTTTGTATTGTAGCTATTTTTCATAAAAGCAACTTTAAATCTTATACAAATTTTATAGCACCATTAGACAGTGGTCATACAAGTTATCACATAAACATGGACTTGAAAAATTAGACTTTTCATAAAACACATCATATGTCATTGACTGCTTTTCATAGATAACACTTCCAAGGCGATCCATCTGTATTGTTACCAAAAAGTGCTGCTTCACCTAACACAGACTTCTTTTTGCTCTTTGACATCTTGAAAACACCCGTTTGTTTTTTAATAAAAAAAACTTAGGGCTCAAGACAAATCTTAAATGAAACCCTCATAAACCATGAAAATATGGATGGTCTTAGGGTCTTAGGCATGAAATAAGCATTAGGAACAAATTCTCCTAATTTCAACCCCCAGCCCAGCAGATTATTCTTTTTTTTTTTTTTTTTGAGACGGAGTTTCACTCTTGTTACCCAGGCTGGAGTGCAATGGCGCGATCTCGGCTCACCGCAACCTCCGCCTCCTGGGTTCAGGCAATTCTCCTGCCTCAGCCTCCTGAGTAGCTGGGATTACAGGCACGCACCACCATGCCCAGCTATTTTTTTTGTATTTTTAGTAGAGACGAGGTTTCACCATGTTGACCAAGATGGTCTCGATCTCTTGACCTTGTGATCCACCCGCCTCGGCCTCCCAAAGTGCTGGGATTACAGGCTTGAGCCACCGCGCCCGGCCCAGATTATTCTTTAAGAAATCTCCTAGGAGTTCTGGAATTAGAAAACAATAGCCCTGGGTTATTCCTGCTTCCAGTCTCTGAGTAACAAGGGTGTTTGAAAGCGTCGTCTCTTCAGGTCCACTGTAGTGGTTTTTTATTTAAGAAATAACTCAACTGGATGTGGGGGCTTATGCCTGATCTCAAAACTTTGGGAGGCTGAGGCCAACAGATCACTTGAGGCCAGGAGTTTCAAGAGCCTGGCCAACATGGTGAAAACCCGTCTTTACAAAAATTAGCCAGGTGTGGTGGCATGCACCTGTGGTCCCAGCTACTTAGGAGCCTGAGGCATGAGAATTGCTTGAACCTGGGAGGCAGAGGTTACAGTGAGCCAAGATTGATTCACTGCACTCCAGCCTGGGTGATTGAGTGATACTGTCTCAAAAAAAAAAGAACTCATACAGCTCAGTGATTCATTGATTCCAGTAAATCCTTTTTATTAATGATGAAAACATCCTACTAGGTTTTTCTAGTTAAAAACTTTTAAGACAGGTGCAATGGCTCGTGCCTGTAATCCCAACACATTAGGGAGGCCGAGGTGGTAGGATGGATGTAGGAGGACTGCTTGCCTCCAGGAGTTCTGTACTTGCCTGGGCCACATAGTAAGACCCTGTCCAGCCCCTTCAACACTCCCCCCCAAAAAGCCAGGCATGGTGGTACACGACTGGGGTCCCAGCTACTTTGGGAGGCTGAGGTTGGATAACACCTGAGCCCTGGAGGTTGAGGCTGCAGTGAGCTGTAATCATGCCACTGCACTCCAGCCTGGGCAACAGATGAGACCCTGTGTCACAAAAAAAGAATTTTTAAAAGGTGCTTTTTAAATGCATTTTATCATTTGCTCTTGACAGAGTTAAATTTTCAGAGGCTTCAGTATTATTAAGTGTCATGAGTGTACTTTAAGCAAGTAAATCTCTAATGTAGGAAAATCCCTCAAATGGTAACATTTACTAATGTTTTATATGGTTATTTTTGAAAAATATATCTAATATTTCTCTAGTAAAAATGATGTTGTTTTAGTAACCTACTAGGAATGTTTAAAGATTCTTTAAGTCTGGCTTATGTAGCTAATGTGGGCCTATTAAATAATAGACAGACTTTTGTCTTGGTTATATGCTTTAGGGCCTTTCAAATACTCTATTCCAAAGCCCATCAAAAGACCAAGAAACAAGGCCTTTCCCTTTATGACTATTATCTGTACTAGTTTTTAAGGTTCAGTTACCACAAGATTATAATTGTTTTTATTCATGTTCAGAAGAAAAATACATATGTTTCACACCAACACACTTTGAAATCCATTTCTCTCTTTGACTATATGTGATTATCAAAAAAGTATTATTCAAGACATTAAAAATATGTAAAGGAAAAGGAAATATTTTTAGAACATTCAAAATCCAATGAAGTTCTGTGTTTCTTTAGTTGAGGGCAGAAGTAGAGGAGAATTTCAGAAGGTAGTGAACCCAAAGGTGGATTCTTACATAATTCTACTGTTCTGTTCTCTAACCCATTTGTTTATTACCCTAACTATAGTTAACCAAGTAGAGTTTTATCGTTAATATAGATAGCTGTCAAAGTGTTGACATTCAAAGGAGATTACAAATAATAATTTTTCTGTCAAATGGACTGACCATGTCCGCAGTCTTCCTTGAACTACCTTCCAGTTTTCCTGGGCTGCATCTACCATTTATGTCTAGTTTAACTTTTTTCTGACTTCGCCAATTGCTGCTAGGAATGTGCTGGTCATTCAGCAGCACAACCAGATCACAGGGGAAGATCTTGAAATACCTGGACAAACTGATCGGTCTGAATACACTCAGTTCAAAGAAGTACCAGGGAACTACATCTTCTTGCTGAAGCCTTGAATTTTTGTCAGATTTTTTTTTACTGTGGACAGTGAAGCTGGAAGGAAAAGATCTAAATAACCCAGCTGGAAATGCAGATGAAAGTGCAAGAGTTGGTTTGTGGTCATCTGGAGTCCACGTCTCCAAGGCTGCTGGACCTTCAAATTTTGAAACTTGTTAGATCTTCTGGATGATAGCACAACGATTAGAAGACCTAGAAGAATACAGTGTTGCTGGGACTCAGTGGTGTTCAATGAGACCATCTACCAGCCGGGGAAAGAATTAATTAAAACAGGTATTTAAAAACTCCGTAACATCAGAAGTGTGTAGCAGAATGAATTCTGTTATAAGGAAGACAGAAGAATTCAGTCTGTTTTTTAATGCTGTTTAGGAATGATGTATACTCCCTATACTTAAAAATTGTCATTTATTTCATTTGTAGTGTTAAAAACATACTTCCATTAGTTTCTGTAGGGAAAGAAGAATTATAGGGTTTTGTTTGTTTTTAATTTTTCTTTAACTTTAATACTGCCAATTTGATTTAAAATTCTCCAAGCTTAATTATGTGCAACTAAAAGAACCACACAACTGGCCTGGCACTGTGGCTCACTCTTATAATCCCAGCATTTTCGAGGCGAGATGGGAAAATCACTTGAGCCCAGGAGTTTGAGAACCACGTGGGCAATATAGGGAGACCTCGTCTCTATTTTTAATAATTAAAACACACACACACACACACACACACACACACACACATACACACACAACCATGTTATAGGAAAAGTTAGTATAAATGACATAGCATAATGAATATTATATTCAAAATAACTTTTAAAAAGTTGTCTTGTAAAAACGTGAAGGGATCCTAATTTCAGAAGCCCCATCACAAACTTACAAGCCTTAGTACTACATAAATATCCCTTTTAACTAGTTTCTGGTTCTAATTTAAAAATCAGAAACATCTGAAGTTCATTTACAAATAAGAACAGATACACACTGTATAGGGAGGCTGAGGTGGTAGGATCTTTTGAGCCCAGGAGTTATAAGTCTAGTCCATCAGAAAAAAACAAGGCATACCTTTTATTTTTTTTTTTTACATACAAGGTCTCACTATGTTGCTCTGGTTTGTTTATATATATATATATATATATATATATATATATATATATGTTATATCCAGGATATATATACCCAGGAATTCCTGGCTTTAGGCGATCTTCCGTCTTCAGCCTCCCAAAGTGTTAGAATTACAAATATGAGCCACCTCTCTGGGCCAGAACATACATTTTAGATTTCAGACTCGGGGGTGAGCAGGGATAAATCTCCTTGTTAGTTACATAAAAATATATTTTTTTTCTTTTTGCAGATTTAAAAAATAATTTAGCTGTTAACTTCTTAATCATCCGGCTCTGTTTAACTCCCCTCCCCCCCTTTTTTTTTCTTAGGAACAAAGGGATTCATTCCTCATTTTAACTGATATTACAATGAAGATGGGTTCTTGAACTTTCAGAAGCCTGGATAAGCCACCTAATCTGCAAGATAAAAAACCAAAAACTAATGCATATTGGAGAAAATAATGCTTAGTACTTGAAGATTGAATGTCGAATACCTAATTGAATATTCCTATTGATGTTTTTTCTTTTTTTCTAAACATACTTCAGAAACATCTTAGGACAGCTGACTGAAGAAATGTTGAACCCTGGGTGGAATATCATACCATTGACCTATCTGAAGAGTTAAAGCTGTATTTGACTGCTCTATTCTACCAGAATATTGTTAGGCTAGCCTTTTAACAGTTTCTAAACAATTGTAATCATTTATTGACTCAGTGGTTCCTCAGACAACAGGCTAAAAGATGTACAGATATATTTCAATTTGAGTTTCCCTGATATTAAAGGCATAAGAGTTTCTCAGTATTTTGACTGACAGTGTAACATGTTTCCATTTTAGTTTGTTAGTGATGGTGGTTTTCCCTTTGAAAGCCATTTGGTATATTCACCATAACAATTAGTTTAATACAATTACATAAGAAAACTGTCGTAAAACCCAGCAATTTTAATAGTCGTGAAAACATGTTTTTTAAATTGTGTTTAAAAGTAATTGCAGGACTTAAAACCAAATTCTGTTGGGGGAAGGGCCATTTCTGTTTAATCCTTAGATTCTTAACCTGCATAGCTTATCCTGTATTGTAATTTTTTTTCTTAACTCCTAAACAAGAAGCTTGAAACTTATCCTGTATTTTAAAATTGAAATTAGGGTATAGTCAGATTTTTTTTTTTTTTATTAAGGATTTGGTTTGACAGCCTTGAAAAGAAAGCTTTGCCTCGCTAATACTTCTTAATAACTTGCATCAAATAATACTCCCTGTGGTGAAATATATTGTCAAAGTTTTGTTATCTTTCATTTTTGGCATTTGCTTCTTATGGACTTAGTACCCAGGCAACAAAGATCTATTATGTATCTACTCTGTTGTATGTTTACTTTTCTTTCCCCGCAAACAGGCATGTATGCATAATAAGAAATAAGCATGATAATTATTTTATTTCTCCCACAAAGCCCATGGGAGATGGCCCAACAAATGTCTAAAAAGTAAAAGAGGCCAGGCACAGTGACTTAGGCCCGTAACCCCAGCACTTTGGGAGGCCATTGTGGGTGTATCACGGGGTCAGGAGTTTGAGACCAGCCTGGCCAACACAGTAAAACCCTGTCTCTACTAAAAATACAAAAATTAGCCCGGAGTGTTGGCAGGCACCTGTAGTCCCAACTACTCAGGAGGCTGAGGCAGGAGAATTGCTTGAACCCGGGACATGAGATTATAATGAGCTGAGACTGTGCCACTGCACTCCACCCTGGATTATGGAGTGAGACTCTTATCTCAAAGGGAAAAAAAGGGGGGAAAAAAGAAGAAGTAGTAAAAGAAAAGGAGCAGTTTATGATTGAGGAAAACTTGACCTAGATTAAAGAAGTAAGGAGAGATTGGAGTGGGCTAGAAGGAGCTATAGTCTCTAGCTCTTTTGTAAGGAGGTGGGGACAGAGGGCACTGGTGTCTCAGAGTGGGTGTCTGGTGAAAGGGAAAAAGGTGCCTAAAGGATTTTCAGGCTATTACTGAAAATTTTCTCTCTTTGCCTTTAGATGTAGATAAACTGTGCAGTTATGACCTGAAGCTTCTTGTATTCAAACTTAGCCTAGGGCTTAGGTAGAGGCCCTAGGGTCTACTTATGGTGGAGGAGGGAAGTGTGTGTAGAATATGTAGGCTTGAGAAGAAAATAAAGCCAGAAAAGCATCACTTGCTTATCACAAAACCATCTTTCTAATGCAGCTGGTAAAGGAAGTTTCAAAGGTCTATCTAAGGTTTCTCTACAGAAATTACATGCTTCTCTGATCTTTGATTAGTAAAATAATTGAGATAGTTATGCCTTTAATGCATTTATTATTGAACTTACCATTTTAATTTGTGTCAGAAATAATGTGCAGAAAAGTTTTTGCTCATGGTAGGATTAAAATTGTGTTCTTTAAAGTGAAACAGTCTGTTTTGTTGATTTGATAAATATTTGAGTGCATAATATGTTCTAGGTACTAAAAATACAGAAGTGAATAGCAACATGCTCATTTGAATTACTGATCATTATTTTAGTATGCTTTGAATTCATTGTACCACTCCTTCCTAGAGTCATTCAAAACAGAAAAACTAGTTTTAAGTGTAGATTTCATGTTTTTCTGTTTTAAAAGGTTGAGCTAATAATGCTTTTCACAAGAGACAAAATAACATGAGTCACAATAAAGTAATTCTTGGCTCAGTTCCACCCAATTTCCGTATTCTGGGTGTAATTTAAAACTTTTGACTTGGAATTTTAACCTTTTTTTTTTGTTTTGATTTTTTTTTACCAGGTTTCTAAGCATGAACTGAGGAACAGAAGAAGCAGAGCAGATGATCGGAGCAGCATTTGTTTCTCCCCAAATCTAGAAATTTTAGTTCATATGTACACTAGCCAGTGGTTGTGGACAACCATTTACTTGGTGTAAAGAACTTAATTTCAGTATAAACTGACTCTGGGCAGCATTGGTGATGCTGTATCCTGAGTTGTAGCCGCTGTAATTGTGAATATTAACTGAGATAGTGAAACATGGTGTCCGGTTTTCTATTGCATTTTTTCAAGTGGAAAAGTTAACTAAATGGTTGACACACAAATTGGTGGAGAAATTGTGCATATGCCAATTTTTTGTTAAAACCTTTTGTTTTGAACTATACTGCTTTGAGATCTCATTTCAGAAGAACGGCATGAACAGTCTTCAGCCACAGTTGTGACGGTTGTAAATGCTCACAATTGTGCATTCTTAGGGTTTTTCCATCCCTGGGGTTTGCAAGTTGTTCACTTAAAACATTCTTAAAATGGTTGGCTTCTTGTCTGCAAGCCAGCTGATATGGTAGCAACCAAAGATTCCAGTGTTTGAGCATATGAAAGACTCTGCCTGCTTAATTGTGCTAGAAATAACAGCATCTAAAGTGAAGACTTAAGAAAAACTTAGTGACTACTAGATTATCCTTAGGACTCTGCATTAACTCTATAATGTTCTTGGTATTAAAAAAAAAAAAGCATATTTGTCACAGAAATTTAGTTAACATCTTACAACTGAACATGTATGTATGTTGCTTAGATAAATGTAATCACTGTAAACATCTATATGATCTGGGATTTTGTTTTTATTTTGAAATGGGAGCTTTTTTGTTTACAAGTTCATTAAAAACTAAAAACTGTTTCTGTAAGGAAATGAGATTTTTTTTTAAACAACAAAAATGCCTTGCTGACTCACTATAAAATAAAAATCTCCCCAATTTTTTGATAGACTACTTTAAGCCATTTGTTACATGGTATTCCTTTGCAAGTCATTCTAGGTTTCGTGTTAACTTTTCCTTTAAAAAAAAAAAAAATCTATTTCTTTTGTCTGAAGGGGAAAGGCATTCTTTCATTTTTGTTTTTTTATGACTTGCAGGCACAGTATCTAGTACTGCCACTGCCAGAACTTGGTATTGTAACTGCTGCCCGCTGACTAGCAGCTAGACTGATTCTGAATAAAGATGAAAGCATTAAAGGGTTTTCCTATAAAACATTTTTCTTTAAAATACTTGTGAAATGGCTATAAGCAGTTGACTTTCACCCTTGGAGAGCATCACACTGTGTGAGGTTCAGTGATCGTTGACCCTCCCCAACCCCTCCTGCTTCTTTATCTGTCTTTATCTCTGTGCGTGCGCTTCCTCTCAATTTTCTTTGCACGCTTATTTCTTTTTCTCTGACCCAAGAAAAAGGAAAACTTACTGATGATAATTTTAAAGTAGTGTAATTTATTCATTTATAGCATGTCAGGATAAATTAAAAGAACATTTGTCTGGAAATGCTGCCAGGAGCCTATTGTGTAAATGTAGGTATTTTGTAAAATAACATTGAAATTGTAAATTGACACGTGTTTGGTCAGATTGTGTCAAGTTTAATTTGTTTTGTTTTCTTTTTTTTTTAATTTGAAAACTACTTTAGCAATAATTAATTCCATGATTATCACATTCTGCCATTAAGGGAGATAGTACCGTAATACTGAAGAAATCTTGTTAAGTCTGAACTTTTGGGGTAGGCAGCTTTTTTGTTTCTTTTCTATCCACCCTTGTCGGTTGAGGTATTTGTTTCTTGACTAATAAACCCTTTGATACTTTTAGCCAGAAATTGGTCTCATAAAGCTATTTTTGAGTATAGTTTGTGTAAAATAAAACTGTTTAGCTTTGGTAATAACTTTTCCAAGCTGAACTCCCTCTAGCAAGATATTTTTCAGTGCTTTTATTTACTATGCACTTAGACTATGCACTTTTTCTGAAATATTTTTGTAACACTTTTTTGTATTTTTGCCATTTGAAAAGGTTGTGGTGTAGTTGGTCTGTAATTAAGTTGCAGATTTAAAACTGCTGTTAGCTTTGTAAATCAAAATATAGGTGTTTTTTGTCCTGGTATATCATCATTCCATCTGCAGCTGGAGCTGGAATCCCATTGATCTTCTAGCTACCATTCATTTTCTTCACAGTTCACAAAAGAAGAATGTGAAATTCAGTGAATGCTGTTACTAATCCTGTCGCGAGATGAATCTCATTTCACCAAAATTAAATTATGTTTTTCCGCTAAAATGATGATACAAGTTGAAGACACATCACTCTGAAATTGGAAGACCTCACCACTTAAGGCTCCACAGTGGCTTACTCAGCTGAACTCTAGGTTACTACTCTTTACTTTGTTCACCCATTGGGGGGTGCAGTTTTTTTAAAATGTTGGGAGATGGCCATTCTAACTACTGTTGAATGTCTCTGTTTTGGGAAGGTATAACAAGAAATAAAAAAGAATATATATGAAGGGAGAGACTGGTTATCTCCTCCCATATGGTTGTGCTTATGCTCTTACGGCTTACAAATGGATATTTCGAGATTTGCTTTCACAATGATTTCCTATCAACAAATATTTTTATTACGATTTTTCCTGTTCTAGTCCTTGCAGTACTCATAAATGTTTTAAGCCGAGCATACTGTAATAATCGTAAGTTTAATTTCATTATAATAAAAATAACAAACAAAAGGATTTTAGAACCCAAGACGATGAGCTAGTTTTCCCTAAAGGTTGCTGAACTATTAAGGAATATGTTTTTATGACTTGACTAGAATGAGCCATGGACATTTTTAGCTCAGCTGAAAAATCCAGCGGCATTTAATGCAGGTAAATTCCTGAGTTCTTTTCCAACTACTCTGGAACAGTTTCGCTTTGACTCAAACTGGTATAAAGCATTATTTTAGGTCTTCTCTTTGCCATTTTTTAAGCAATTATAACCATGTAATCAAGACGTGAAGGCATCTATATGAAGTATAGTAAAGAAGTGTCATAAGCAGATAAATATATGTGTCCCAGGTATGCTGCTCTGTTTGAAGTGAGATTTTGTGAGACTATGCATTACCATTGCCTACATTTGGTTGGGGTGGGGGGGGATGTTTTTATCCTCAAAACTTGATTGATTGAGACAGGGTCTTGCACTTCTATTGTAACATTCTTAATGACAGTCTTCCTTTTTAGCAGTGTATGTTTGAAACAGCCAGAGATTTCGATGGGCCGAGTGTAAATTGATCTAAGCAGGCCATGTAGTTTGTGTTGACTCATCAAACAGTATATTGTTCAAGTGAAATAATTTGTTTTCTGAAATGACTTGTTAGACCAGTTTTGAGGACATACTCAAAAGTAGACTAATAATGGCTCCTGGAATGGAGAAATACGAGATGAACCTGGAACTTTTCTATTATAGTGCCAAACAGGAAATTCGATTTAAAAAAATGGTGGATGGCCAGGTGCCGTGGCTCACGCCTGTAATTCCAGCACTTTGGGAGGCCAAGGCGGGCAGGAGCACAATACCAGCCTGGCTAATATGGTAAACCCCATCACTACTAAAAATACAAAAATTAGCTGGGCTCAGGGTGCTGAGGCAGAAGAATTGCTTGAACCTGGGAGGTGGGGGTTGCAGTGAACCGAGGTCGTGCCATTGTACTCCAGCCTGGGTGATGCAGTGAGACTGCATGTCAAAAAAGGGGAAAAAATGGGATACCTGTCAAAAGGACACAGAAGCCACTTGAAGGGTTTGTACTTGCTAAATCTGTGTCAATTATCAAAATAAACTGGTAGCAACATTACAAGTTACTAAGATACCATGATTCCATATTGACATTGAAATGGAGAGAAGGGAAAGCTCTAACTTGAAGTAGAACGTCAGCTCATTTAAGGTGAAAGGATTTTACGTGTTAGAAAAATCACCATTTTGCAAACTAGTTTTCAGAATCCTTTATGTCATCTCTTATTCCTCATAACAGTAGTAAGGAACAGGTATTGTTACTCCCCTAAGGGTTAAAGAACTTTCAGAAAAGTGGCACTGCCCAAGGCAAGGCGTCTTGGTAATTGGTAGGCTTTGTAGAGCCAGGACATAAACCTGGTTTTCTTTGCTTTCATGCAGTTAAGCCATGGGGCTCCTCTTGTTATCACCCTTTTAAACCTAGAGATGGATAAATTAGCCATCGTTTACTGAGTGCCATGCACTATTCTAAGTGCTTTACATGTATTTGCCTAATCCTCAGCATCCTGTGAAGTACATCCTGTCTCCATTTTACATACGAGGATACCAAAGCACAGAGTTGGAGGGGAGATAGTTATATCCATTTATTTATTGGGATAGGGTCTTGGTATCCCTTTATTGGTTGGTTGAGACAGGGTCTTGCACTGTCGCCCAGGCTGGAGTGCAAATCACGACTCATGCAGCCTTGACCTCCCAGGTTCAAGCAGTCCACCCACGTCAGCCTATCAAAGTGCTAGGATTACAGGCCTGAGCCACCAAGCATGGCCAGATTCTTAACTAAGACCTTAACTTTACCCTTTCAAAGTAGTTTACAGTGTCTAACTACCTTACATCAAAGTATACATCAAATAGGATGGCAGCCTGGAAAGGTTTAACCTCTAGAATGACTGGGAGGTTGGGCAAGTAAGATTTCTTAAATTGCAGCTGTTTTCACCTTAGACATGTTGCATAATCTTTTCAGTATCAAAATTAAATTGACTAGAAGTGGAGTCTGCTGAATTCAGATATAAAAATTTTGGAGTTAGGAAATTGTGCTTGGCCGAGTGCTGTGGCTCATGCCTATAATTCCTGCACTTTGGGAGGCCAAGGTGGGTGGATCACTTGATGTCAGGCGTTCGAAAACAGCCTGGTCAACGTGGTGAAACCCTGTCTCTACTAAAAATGTAAAAATTAGCTAGGTGTGGTAGTGCCAGCTACTGGGGAGGCTGAGGCAGGAGAATCACTTGAACCGATAACAAGCCACTGCACTCCCACCGGGGCACAGAGCAAGACTTCATCTGAAAATTATGTGCTTATATTGCCTCCCTTACCCCTCACACTTGGGCAGGGCAAAGCCTGTCTGTAATAAGCAAATGGATAGTCTCTGCATCTATCCTCAACTTTACACAAACTGAAATATTTTTATTCTTGGAGCATTTTTGAACTAAGATTCAGGCACTTTAAAAGACAAGCAATGAGTAGCTTCCCTGTATCCACACCCAGTAAGTTAAAAAGCAGTCATACCGAGGCTTAAGTAAAATGTTCGGGTTAACTTGGTTACTTCTTTGCAGCATTTTCTAATTTACTGTTTGACATGTTTCTGATTAGAAAATACAGATAATTGTTTAGGATGTTAGAGAAAATAGGAGTGACAAAACAAGGTATGTTCACTGGGATAACAGTGAGTTAAGGATATCTTTGAAGTACTTAGACATGTTAATCTCAGTATATTTCAGTATTTTTTTTTTTTAGTATTTTTTAATTTACATGAAAATCTGGGAAATTTTAATAGTAATTTTCCAGTCTAGTGAATTTTTCATTACACCCACCAGATGGGAACTGATTCTGCCATATGCAAAAGGCTGCTATGTGATAGTGTTGGGGACTGGGGTGGTGGGGGGATGTGAACAGGCAGAATGGAGTAAGGGCCTTTAGTGAAAGTATGAGGGAATGACTATAAGAGGCAGGACAGGACTTTGTGTATGATTTGAAAGTAATTGTGGGCCGGGTGTGGTGGGTCACACCTGTAATCCCAGCACTTTGGGAGGCTGAGGCAGGCGGGCCACAAGGTCAGTAGTTTGAGACCAGCCTGACCAACATGGTGAAACCCTGTCTTTACTAAAAACACAAACAGCCAGTCATGGTGGCACACACCTGTAATTGCAGCTATTCAGGAGGCTGAGGCAGGAGAATCTCTTGAACTTGGGAGGCAGAGATTGCAGTGAGCAGAGATCACACCGCTGAACTCCAGCCTGAGCGACAGAGCAAGACTCCATCTTTAGGAAAACAATAATTGCGTATGTTCTACATGCTGGGCTGGATCTTGGGCCTTTGGCCTTCAAACAGCAAAAGTTTGCCATTCCTTAGGTAGGAGTCTTTAAACTCCCTTCACCCCTCATCTGTATCTATTCACTAAAATATAGAAGCACTCCACAAAATGCAGGTCCAGGAGAGAAAGAGGCAGTTAACTAATTTACCCACTGACATGGTTGGTCATTTTGTGGCTCATTAGTGGAATCCGCATTTAGAAGCAAATGCTAGAGGTCATTTTAGTTTCTTAGAGACCAGTTAACAAATATGAAGGCCAAAAAGATGTGTAGGTATGGTCAAGCTCCCCAAACAAGACTAGAACCCAGGCCAAATAGTACTATTCACATTTAAAGGTAATAAATATTTTCTGGGGGCACATTTAAGCCAAGGCAGTTTTTTAATGCATTTATTAGCCAACCTTTACCTAGTTATCAATACTTCATATATGTGGTCATTGTAGCAAAAAGAATATGTTAGCCAGTTTTATTGCTTCATGGTCTTATTAAAAATTGTTTTTTGTTTTTTGTTTTGTTTTTTCTAAAAATCACCTTAAAACGACTAAAATGGTTAGTATTTGGACTTAAGATACATTATTCTTATCTACAAGAGTGGAATGCATTAATTAGGTTTGCAGTCTGCTACATAAAACCAAACGACCAAGTTATTTTTGCTTGTAGTTGTGAATTACTTTTTCACTTTTAGAGCATTTCCATGCCCCTAGGTTTATATAGATTGTTCTGATACACCAGCGTATTCACGGACAGGGTGTTCTTTCTCATAGTTCTGTAGTACTTTTATAGCCTGTCATTTGTGGAGCAGAATGTCTGAGGTAAAAAACGTAGCCTTTTCTCCACATTACCATATTAAGTCTGCAATGCTGCTAATTCAGAGAAGCAAAATAGTTGGAATAACTGTTGGAAACAATTTCTGTGGATTTCAGGCAGCCTGCCATTGGTTCTGTATGCCAATGGACAGGCACAAAGCTTGATGGCAAAGTGCTGCATTAGATATTTAGGATCAGAAGAAAGGGTGGAGGTGGATATTTTTAGAAACTGCTTTTAACAGTTGCTAAGTAAATATTTTTCATTAATTGCAAAACTGGTTTGCACTGTGCTAACGTATGTAACTCCATCAAGAGCATAATGTTTTAGTCTACATTTAGACAGTGAAATCAATAAAATAGCTTCTAGTGCTTTTTGTGCCACCAAACAAAGGGAAACTAAATACTCGAGACAATTTTTTAAATCATTGACCATCCTGCACCCTGCAAAATTGGGAAGCATACCTTACTGAGTTTAATTTAATGGCATACGTGATTTTTTTTTTTTTAAGCTTATGACAAAATGCAGTACCTACACAAACAATAGGGACTTGAGTTTTTAAATGCCAGACATTGTGCTAGTCCCTGGAAATTCAGGGGTGACAATTCAAACAGGCCTATATACAATATAGGGTGTTA